TTTGTCTGCACCAACAACACCAAGTCAAATTCCTTGTAAGGGCAAACCTACTTGGCAATAAACTTGATTCTGATTCTGATTGACTAAACAATTAAATTGCACACCATTGTGACTTTGTCCCCCAAAGCTGATGCTCCTAAACAAGTCAGATACTGAGACTGAGGAGTGCTGCTGTTTAAACCCCTTCACTGCATCACCAAACTCATTCAGATGACAAAAATCCCCCCTAGAGGGCTTCATAAAGAGTCAAGCTCCAGCTAATTCACCTTAAGGTCGGAGCTTTCAGAGCTCAAACTCAGACTACAGCACTGCAGCCTTTGATCTAGAATAAGTCCTTTTCCCTTTTTTATATCAGGTAAATTAACTGATCTAACAATGAAATCATTCTCTTTTCTTAAAATGATTGGATACAATTCACTGAAAATAGGATAATAGGGTTGTTGTTTTTCTTTTAACGTAAATCATCTTATTCTGTTGGTGACTTTTCTGACTGACCTTCTCAAATCAGAGGGAAATACGCTAATTTCATGGAAACCCAACTCACTTATAGTTAATGTTTTGCATTAAGAGCCTCAATCAGCACATAGATGACCCAGTTCATTGCAGGGTATAAGAGTTTATTTAGAGGCTTTTGTAATTAGAAACTCGTGAGCAGCTCTGCTGGAACTACAGAGGGTCTGGACCAAAGCAGAGAGGTTCTGTTGATAGTTACTCCGCCATGTGTGGATTATGCATAGCAAAAATGTTGTTTTTCTTTAAATAAGCGGGTTTTATTTTCTTTGTATTGAGGAGACAAGTAAGAAGATTCTTCTACGGAATATGATTAACCTTTAGAATAATAAAAAAAACACAACTCGGTTATTTAAGTATGTAATATCTAATTATGTTATTTTAAGGAAATAAAAGCCAGATTTTATTAAAACAAACTCTGGTTTTAAGACATGTTTACTCATTTGTAGATCAGCTTTTTTGCAGTGCAGAACGCAGCTTAACAGCGGCACCAAAAGGACCCGTGTTCTGACAGCAGCTGACTGGAAGAAATGTTCTGTATGCTTAGATGTTCTGGAGTCAGGTGGGATCGTCCGTCTGAGGCTGGAAAAACAACATGGAGGAGGAGCTTCAGAAGTAAAACTGAAGGTGTTTTTGGTTGAGCATCATGAAGTTACAAAGTCTTTACTTCTTTGGTCCATTTTCACAGAGCCAGAATTTTTCTTTGTTTCTGTAACTTAATTGGTGCTGCTTTGTGTTTGAGGCTGTAGCCTTTAAAAAGTCCTTCATCTGATGCCAGTTGGATTTTATGAGTTCTTATTGACAGTCTGGTTTAATTTATCAGAACAAACTTGATCAGCAGGCAGAGCTCTGTGTGAAGAAACTTGAGAACCAAATTTAACTCCAAACGTTGATCTCAGATGTTCTGAAGCTCCTTTTGATTTATGATCCAGTCTTTATGTCCCAGCAGAGTCCAGATGAAGCTCCTCTACAGGAGCCGTTCCCAATGAGGGGTGGGCGGGAGATGGGTTTCACAAGATTACATTTAAAATGATAGATAAAATGATTCAGTTTCATTTAAAAAAATCAACTTATTTAAAAAACAATTGAAATATTTCCCTCTATTTAGTGAAATGATTATATGTATGTTTAGGGGTTGTTTTTGCTTTTGGCCACAAGCTGAAATGTTTGGGAGACCCTGATTTAATTCATGATTCAACATTATTATCATATTAATTATTACATAAAATTTTAAAATCGACAAAAAATAAAAGGTTGAAATTAATCATCAAAAATCACATTTAAAAGGATAAATTAGTAGAATAAAATTTTATGTTAATTATATTGAAATTAATATATTTAATTCACTTTCCATTTCTAAATAAATGTAATAATTTAATGTATTTTTTGGGGGAAATTCTCAGTCTGTTTCAATTTTGTGGAAATGCTGAGGAAGCTCAGCTCTAGAGGTCTGGTTCTGGCTGCGTGGATGAAGTGTTGGTGCTCCTCTTCCTCCTCCTGGCTCCGGCCCAGGCAGACAGTGATTGTGTTTGGGTTCAGGTTAATGAGTAGATTTGCTGCACTGCAGCGCACTGTCCCCCCCCCCACTCCCCCACCCCCCCATGCTGATGTGGAGCAGCTGAGCACCACAGCACCTCCACTCTGCTGCAGAGCCATAAATCACCCACAGTTGGGCCGGGGCAGAACTGAGCAGCGACCGCTGGGGATGGACGAGGAGCACAGCGCCGTGTTCACCTTCACCGAGCAGCCTGAATGCTCACCGCCTCACCTCCACCGCTGCCAGCAGAACCAACACCCCTCCCACATCAGCCCCTCCCAGCTGCTCCCTCTAATTGCCTTTATTAGCGTCTCTATGGGAGCAGCATCCAGGAGCAATTTGCTCATTATGTGCAGGATTAGCAGCGGCCCCGGGGCCGGCATGGAGCACAGAGGGAGGCCTGGCTGCACCCTGCCTTTAACTGGACCCCTGCCGCCCTGCTGGCTCTGACGACAGCCGCCTGACTGGAGAGCTTTGACACGGTTGGACCTTTTGTGCTCTGACCCTAAAAACAGAACGTCAGACACAGAATTAAACAGAGAATAAATTCCAGTTTGGTTTCAGTTGAATATTTGTTTTCAAAAACAAAATATCCCTTTATTTCTGACTGAAATAACATCTATTGAGAAATGCTTTAGGGAAATGTAAGGAATGGTGATCTATAAAAGCAGCTGCACTAATAAAAGATTTTAATTCAGATGTGAATGTTGAGATTATGCACCGCTCCTTTAATTGAAGCTCCTTTGGTTGATACAAACGTTCAGCCTGCAGAGTTTAAGATCTCTGACCGTCCTTCCTTTCCTTGTTATAGCAGGTCTAACCTGTTCTAACTCTCCAGGACGAGGGAAACAAATGTGTAAAAACAAGACTTCACTGCAAATTTAAAAGTTCCTGCAAACTGAAAGTTTAAGCGAGCAGATATAAGTTGTGGTCAAATTGAAAAAAAAAAAATATATAATAATATATATATAATAGAACAGAAGGAAATATTGGAAACTAAGAAAAAAAAGGTTTAAAACTAAAAATATATTGTATAAAAAGATTTTCCCCTAGTTTCAAGCTGCTGCCCCCTCTGTTTGGGGGCGGGGCTTAGATGACATGAGGCTTAGAACGATGACTTACAGTTTTGGTACCTGATCAATACCGGTAACGCAAATAAGCTGATGGTAAGGGTCGGGTAGTGACATCGCATTCAGTTTTGAAAAATAGAAATGTCTTTAAAGTAACATCAGTGTTCTATCACTGGTTTTGGTTTTGAAAAAATATCTGCTATGATTTGAGGAAAAAACACCTAAAAAGTCAGAAGCTTTAAAGGGATCCACAACTATTTGAACATGTTTGTCTAAAGATGTTGTAATTTTCCTTTTACATAAAAAAGTGTGACGCGTAAAATCTCAAATAACTTTGAAAAGGATAAAGTCCTGATTATATTTCCCTGCTTGCTACTACATTACTTAGCGCTAACACCATTAGCAGATGCTAACATGAAAACAGAATCAAATCCGGAGATAATGATCTGTTTAAAGTGACAGTAAAGCATCTTTTAATCATTTGAACTCATCGTTCTGATGAGGTTTTGATCTTGATGCTAACCGCTAACAGCCTCAGTTTGAAACAGCTGTTCATAGTAGCATAGCTCCCCATCTAAGTTAGCATGTCCTCGCTGCAGCTTCTTCCACCAACCGTCCTCTCTTCCTCCATTTGGTCTTTCTCATCTCCATCACCTCTTGTGATTTCTACATTCTCCTGTTCAAACGGAAAAAGTTTATTCATGAATGTTTTGCCTGAGCTGTCATTTCCCTGCTGCCCTCTGAGAAGAGAAGTCGCAGCATTTGACGCAGGACCAGCGGGTTCTGCAACAGCTTTTTCCCCGCTGCCATAAGACTGTTGAACTGTTGAAAACTCTAATCAAGTCACAAATCAAGACTCTGCATCACACTGTAAACATCATATTTGCATATCGCTATATGCCGAATTTACAAATCCCTTTCAATACAATTCAGCTCAGTGTTTAACCTTCCAAATCAATGCCTTTAGACCATGTCTCTCCTACACTGTTTACATGTTGATCACTGCTGCACTTTATAAATGGAAATGTTAATTTCACTCCTAAGCTGCTCAATTCCTGTTTAAAAGCTGTATGCATTGAAATTTCATTTTTGTGTACACTCTGTGTATACAAAATAACAATGAAGTTTGTCCAAGTCGAACAATGCATTGCAGTGTAAACAACAGGGCGATGTCCATTGGACAATCTGTGATTTTAATTTATTAAAACTAATCGGCTTGTTTTCATATTCCTCAAGTAGCCTAATCATGGATCATTTTAGGATGTAACTAAATTAAATATTTTGAGCATTGATCAGTATCAACAATACTGACCCTGTATTTACTTGGTATCAGATTAATAACAGAATGGGGAGATGTTTGAGGCTCTGTCTGAGCAGCTAGCGTTAGCGTTTTGGTTCTAGCTCACATCCTTGATTCCTACTTTCTGAACTGACCCAAAGCTGGGATTATTATTTACATCTGCTGCTTATTGTTCGCAGCTGGAAAGAGGCTAAAGCTTGATTGTTCAATACACTGTAATTAACCAATAATGTTTGTGCTGAGTTTGTTTGGATCTGATCCAAGGCTGTTTTGGTACCAGGCCTGTAGAATCAGTTCATTCTCTGAACAGACTGAATAAAAAAAGCCTTACTGTTATGATCAATTACAGGTCGCTTCAAGCCTCATGTTCTACTCTTGGAGCTTCAGGAGAGAATCCAGCTGCTGCTGCTGCTGACCAGGAGCCCAGGTAAGGAACCAATCTTGCTTTTCTTCTTAGATGTCTTTCCTGATTTAAACACATGAATTCCCATTAATGTAAACATCTTAGTTCGTCGTTTAGGGCTAACCTTCTAAATATAGGCTCACATGGGCTGAACGCTTCAGCCAAATAATATATCGCAATATATTTATTTATTTCAGTTGATTTAATATAATTATAATTTTAATATAAATCAAATATCCAATAAAAATAAAACACTTTAAACTACATAAATAAACCAGGAACGTCAGTGAGAGATGCTGTAAATCTAAACTGGAATCAATATGGAAACATCTTAAATGACGTGTCATCGTTTTAGTATAAAATTATATTGATATACATTTTTTATCCACCTCTAGGCTTATATGTTTGCAAACAGCAAAAGTATTGACACCCCCCTCAGTTTCCTTCTAGTTTAAGATCATCACATTTTAAGCTTCTTAACCCAATTTAGAGAAAGACTTTGAGTAGGACATTTTCTTTTGTTCTGATCCATTTAGAGCTGAACCTGCTGTGGTTCTGGGTCAGGCTGATCTGGGAGAGAGAAAGTTTTTATTTGTTTTTAGTAATAATTATGTTTAGTAATAAAAACGGTTTCAATAAATCCTAAAAATCCCAAATATGTCCAAAGATCCTGGAGACGACTTTTCTGAACCAAAGCCAGTGTTCAGTTAGTCCCTCTGTCCCTTAGGTTGTCTCTCAGGGTGTCTCTCTGTCTCTTAGGTTGTGTTTCTGTCGCTCAGGGTATCAATCAGTGTGTATCTCTGTCCCTCAGGGTGTCGCTCTGTCCTTCAGGGTGTCCCATTGGTTGTCTCTCTGTCCCTCAGGGTGTCTCTCTGTCCCTCAGGGTGTCCCGTAGGTTGTCTCTCTGTCCCTAAGGTTGTCTCTCTGTCCCTCGGGGTGTGCCTCGTGGGGGTCTCTCTGTCCCTTGGGATGTACCTCAGGGTGTCCTTTAGGTTGTCTCTCAGGGTGTCTCTCTGTCCCTCAAGGTGTCAAACAGGGTGTCTCTCTCTGTCCCCCAGGGTTTCCCCTTAGGGTGTCTCTCTGTCCCCCAGGATGTCTCTCTGTCCCCCAGGGTTTCCCCTTAGGGTGTCTCTCTGTCCCTTAGGGTGTCTCTCTGTCCCTTAGGGTGTCACTCAGACTTAGTTTTTTCCATCCAGATTTTTCTTGGTCTTTTTGTATTTTCTGGCAGTTGAGGACATGTCCCCTCTCCTGTCCTCTCACAAACATCAAGGACAGAGGTCGTCTCTGAATAAAATCCTGTCCACACCGTGGTTCTGCTGTGGACCAAGCAAACGGCTCCATTAAGTCCATTTTCATGTAAATAGTCGTCCTGTCTGCTCGCATCCATCTCTGACCACAAACCATTTTTTTATTTATTTTTTTATTTTTTTATTCTGCTTTGCTTTTCCTCCTGCTTGTTTTTCTTCCTCGGTGGAAAGAATATGAAATATTTAGCAGAGCTTCCTGAGCTGCAGCCTGGATTCAACATAATAATTCTGCAGCCATTTTCAGGGGAAGAAACATAAATTCTTCTTCTGGAGACCAATGAAGTTTCTGGTGTTGGTGATTTAAAATTCATCGGCGTGACGTAAAGTTCAAACAGCATCCGGAGAAACAAACCATTGATGGTTATGGATGGAGTGGAGACTCTAGATGTGTTTGTGTGGTATTAGGCTGTACCAGGAAGTACCAGGGAGAATCAGGTGGTACCAAGCCATACCAGGCTGTATCAGGCAGTACCAGACGGTACCAGGCAGTACCAAGCTGTACCAGATGTTGCAGCATGCTCCAAGTCGGGCCAAATTCCTTCTGTCAAAGGCCACTTTTAGGTCTTCAGGCCCGGTAGTGAGTGAATGAACAGGTCTAACCCAGCACCGACCCTGTTAAACCCACTGACTGCCTTCATCTTTCAGCGCCACCTACAGGAAGGCCAAGGCGGTGTACCCGTGTGAGGCCGAGCACGAGTCCGAGCTCTCCTTCCTTGTCGGAGCGATATTCAGTAACGGTGAGTGGTACCGGCCCAGAACCAGCTCTGGGATTGTGGGTTTGGAGGAGGGGAACCAGTCTCATCCGTATTCTTGGTTTTCAGGCCTCAGACCTTTTAAACTGATATTTTCATTTATTGATAAACACTTGGTAAACCATCTAATCGGGTCCATTTAGCACAACGTCCGCATGTTGGTTCAACTGGTTCACATCGAACTGGAAAGTTCTGAACGATTCAGGGCAATGGGGGAGGGTTGGCCTAGTGGTTAGAGCAGAGAGATGGTGCTCTGAGAAGGTTGCAAGTACCCGGTCCATCTCCACAGCCTGGGTTCCTGAACAAGACCTTTAACCCCACACTGCTCCCTGGGCTCTGCACAATGGCAGCCCCCTGCTCCCCAAGGGAATGGGTTAAATGCAGAGTTAAATTTCTCCAATGTGAGTTGAATAAAGTTAAATTATTATTACAGAATATTTGTTCCTTAGAGGTACGGATAAATCTATCTATTCATCTTTTAAAAAAAAGAACATTTATGTATGTTTTCTTCTCTTTAATTAGTTCTAATGTTGGATCTAAGCAGTAAAATATTATTTATTATCTTCGTTTCAAACAATCTTGTTTGATTTAATGTTTTGATAATTAAGCAAAACGATGTTTCCAGAAATCTTTAGAAAAATGTCATAATAATAATAATAATAATAAACTACCTTTTAAAAGCAAATGAAAACTTTCACCCAAACTCATTTCCCTGTTAAACAGAAAGGAAAGAAATGTTTTAGACGTTATCAGTCAGTAATAAACATAAAAAAACAGACGTAATCCTAAAGCCCATGTCTGGCATAAACACTTTGAGGATCATCTGGATCCTAAATCAGTGGTTCTGACCCAAAAGCTCAGAAGGCTCATTAGTGAACAGATGATCATTTGTTTTAAATAAAGAATAAAACAGGAAACCAAAGCAGGTTTTTAAAAGCAAAGGTGGAGTGTTTTTTACAGTTTTGTTCAAACAGGCGGATAAAGTCCAGGTTAAATCTTTTCCCTGCAGACATTGCTGTGACCTCTGACCTCTTACTGGCTTTAAGCTGGGGTCCTCTTTAACCCAGGTTAGATACTGACAACTCATATCGCATCCCTGTTCCAAAGAACCTAAAGTAAAACATTCAAACATTCAGCAACTTTTACATAAATTGGCAAATGTTAGCATTTATATTGAACATAATGACTTTATCAAACATAAATTGTAAAATATGTGAATATTTTTGTTTTTTTTTGAAGCTGAACCTTTCATTAATTCCTGTCCTCCTGCTGTGTCCCCCCTCCCCCACAGTGACCCCATCAAGGGAGCCCGGCTGGCTGGAGGGGGAGCTGGACGGAAGAAGGGGCCTGATCCCTGAGAACTACGTGGAGATGCTGTAGGGGCTGGAGGACGCATTTCTGGACACTTTGTTTTTCTCACGCTCACCACGGATGAACAGCAGAACCTCTGTCAGACGTTCCTACAGAACCAGAGTCTGATCGACCCGTTTAAGCTGATGGGTAGATCTGGTTTTACTTGGTTATGTGGTCAAGTTTTCACTCTTTAAACGTATAGGTTTTTGTTCTTCTAAAGTTCTGCTCTAGTTTCTTGGTCGCAGCAGAGACGCAGCGTCTGCCTGAGCTCGCCCTCCTCTGCCCCGTTATACATGGTATCCATGAGCTCAACGTCAACAGGGGACCCTCAAAAACTCCTCTTCTTCAGCTGTCTGCCTTCATCACTTATAGATTGGAAACACCTGATTGCCTTGTTCACATGATCTGAGTGGTGTACGTCTTTATACAGCCTACGGAGGACCAGTCCTGCCATTGTTGTTTTTGTCAATAATTTCTCTGGTACATTTTCTTTGAGTTTTATAAAAAAGGAACTTTTAAGATAATATACATCATTATTATTATAATTCAGAGCGTAAATGGATAAATAAATATTTTAAAAATGTAACTGGGTCACTAAAAGATAAAAACGAGAGAGATAATTGCATGTAATTGATCAATTAGGTAGAAATAAACATTGAATTAACAAACTAAATATGTATATATTATATATTTTTGCATTTATTGCTTCACTCTTGAAATTTATATTTGCACCTAAATTCTGATTTACCATTATAATGAAATATGGAGAAACATATGTATTTTTCTAATGTTTTTTTTTTTTTATATATATATTAAAAAAAAAGTCCAATCCAAATTCGGAGAAATTAATATCAGAGTATTTTTAAGAAGTATTGATAAACTATTTAAAGATGGTAAATCAAGCTTGGGGTTCTTAAAGTATATTTGATAATAAAGGGTTTTATTAGTTGGGTAAATAGATCAATGTTTTAGAAATAGTGAAATATGAAAAAAGAAATTGAGGGGAGAGGCATGTTTTAAGTATATCTGTGGTAATTTATTCATAAATAAAAGGATCAAATAAACATAAGAAAAACTTGAAAAAAAATTGAAGTCAATTTTCTTTCTAATTGATCCTTTCTAAAATAAATATCTCTGTTTGTTATGCTTAATGGCTTTTTGCCCGAACAATTATTTTTATGAGTTATTTTTTTTACGTGTTTGTTACCGTGGCAGGTCTGGTCCTCCGTAGCTTTCTGCCTGTCTCCGTTTGGGGTCGGGTGGGGCTCCTCCCATCTAGAACCGCTTTTCTCCGTCCCGTCCATCAGGAAAACAGCCATTGAAATTCCGGCACTACGATTAAATGAAATCGGCACATTTATGCATGAGATTGAATTTCCAGCCCACTTTGTTCCGTTTTTGCTTTCAGGACACAGAAACTCGCTGAATCCCTCCCAGTTTCCTGACGCTTGTTCTTTTTAAACACTATCGCCATTCAGGGTCGTCAGACCGAGCAGAACCAAGTGCGTCTCTGTTTCTTAACGTTGCTCCAGTTCAGGGCAGAAAAAAAAGACGATACACTCCAAACAAAGATGAGTTTTAAAGTACCTCACAATGCTTGACGATTAAAACTGTTGCTGTTAGAGATTTTCAAGTTACAACAAGGTTCTGTGTTGGACTGGTTTTGTCCTGCATTGATGGACGTGGCCTTTAATCTCCCAGTTCTCTTGCTGGTTTCTCTGGGCTTTGCTTCAGCACACACTGGTTGCTGTAGTTTAAGATGATTCTTTGGGGCCTTTTTCTTTTTAAACTTTGGTGCCTGCAGTCAATCGATGTTAAAATAAATAAAGATGTCTCTTTTTTTTTTTTTCTTGTTTGCTGTACAATCATTTTTACTTTTAGGTCTGTTGTTTTATTTCTATCTATTAAAAATAATTCTACAGAAACTCCTTTGTGTTTTTTTATTTTTTATTTTGCTCTGAAGCACAAAATCCCAGCCTGTCGTGGTTTATTGATCAGTTCATACATCATATATATATTTGTTCACTTTTAGCAAACAATTTCTGACAATATGACAAGCTGTTGTTAAAAAAATGTGTTTTTGATTTAATTGTAGAAAATGATGTCACTTTTAAACCTTTAAATTCCTGAATCTGTTTTAATGTGTTTAGAAGTGAAATGCATGATGTAGGTAAAATGAAGGATCACGTCGGTCTGTGCCGACTCCTCCACCGCCGAGATCCACAGGTGAATAAGGGAACCCGGACGAATCATTTATAGAAGCAATAAGCTGCCTCCTCCAATCCAAACACCTTCAACCTGTTTCCTAAAAACTTTCCAAAACAGGATAAAAATTGGATGAGAAAGAAGCAAGCTTCAATTCAGTTTATTTCTAAATCACCAAATCAACACGTTTCATGTTAAGGCTCTTCATAGCTCAGGTTGGATCGGATCATAAGACCAGATGAGGTTAAAAGTTTTCTGAGAAAAACCAGCTGACAGTATCCAGTCATTGACCTTACAGGATTATGAAAGTAGATATTGACTCTACAGCAGAGGTCTTCAACGTTTTCCAGGCCAAGGACCCCCAAACTGATGGCGAGATGGAGCGGGGACCCCCTAATTATATATATTGTATGAAATTGTGTTACGTAAACTGGTCCTATAGTCACTCTATTACAGATAGAGGAATGTAACGAAAGTCATTTTCCCATGGTATAAGTGTTTCTGATTCCTCATTGATGGGACAGGTGTTGTGAATGAAACCGTGCCCAGCTTGAAAGAGCTCCTGTGTGTCGCTGAATGTGTGTATTGATGACTGAAAGACATCTTCTGCCTCCATTTATCTGTTTACTACAGTGTGTTGAAATTATGTTAATGTTTATTTAAAGACATTTCAATTAGTGGGAAAAAAATTGCACGGGGAATATAAAAAAAAAAAAGTCAAATTAAAACATTCACGACCTCCGTGGACCCCCGTTTAAGACTTCCGCTCTGCAGCAATCCCTCCCCAAGCATACATGCAGAGAGGGTGGAGAGGAAAACTCAACTTTTAACAGGAAAAAACCTCCAGCAGAACCAGGCTCAGTGTGAACGGGCTTTTTCCGAGGCCGACTGGGGTTGAAGGAGAGAGAAGCAGACCGAAAAGGAACATCGGAAAGAACTATGAATGCTTTCTACTTAAGGAAAGCTAAGAGTAAATTATCTGATGAGCTGACAGTTAAACTGACAGGCTCTGAGTCAGTTTTCATGTTGAAAGATGAAAGAGGGCACATCCAGTCCATTTAAAACAGACCAAACTTTTTAGCTCTGAATTCAGCCTGAAGCTCTCCTCACTTGCTGCGAGGGGCCAGATTTGGCCTGTGGGCCTTGAGTTTGAAGCCCAGTACCTTTATTACCTGGAGACGGTGCTTTTTACCCGCCCTCCTCTTCCACTCTGACGGTGCGCTCTGAACCAATCAGCTACCTGGAGAAACCTGCAAGTTTGATGATGTAATGCAAGGAGCAGGGCTGATGAGAGTATTCCTTCACCCCATGGGGCCCTTCGTCATCTTTGCTCTGCCAGGATGTTGCTGAATCATAAAGCCGTCCTTATTTCTCCTGTTTCCTCTGCCTCCCTTCCTGCCTCTCTACTATGTACATCCTTTTTTTTTGTCCTCATCGCGTCGCCTTCCTGCTGCTCCCTGTAGACATCTTTTACTTGTTCTTTACTCCTTGTGTGTTTGGAAAATGAATGCTGGGCGTCCTTCTGGTCAATCAGCTTCTCTGAGGTTTGATCTGAATTCATCAAATCAAAGCTGCTGTTCTTTTCCCTGTCATATGTTCAACAGTAAGAATTTTATTTCCCACTAAAGGAATGAAAGGAGCTTCAGACACCCCTAACCAATCATTGCTCCTCTATTATTGCATTTTTGAGGAATTGGGAACATTATAGTCAGACTTTATTTTACATCGTTTTAATCATAATTTTTTCCCCCTAGAGTTTTATTGTCATTACTCTTTCACAAGTTCAGAACATCAAAATTAACTGCATTTAACCCTTGGGGAGCAGTGGGCTGCCATGGTGCAATGCCCAGGGATTCATGACACCTGTGCTGTCCAAGCTTCCATCCATCATGGACAACACCTTCCACCCTCTGCATCAGACTGTAAAGGAGCTGAGCTGCTCATTTAGTGGAAGACTCTTACAACCTGTTTGTAAAAAGGAGCGCTACCGAAGGTCATTCATCCACTGATCTCTATTGCTGATATGGCGGATCATGACATGATCCGCCATGTTGGTACTCCCAACTCCCACAGAGAAGCGCAGTAAAAATGCCTACATGTGTAGCATTTGGCTACAAAAGCAAGCAGTTTGCCGGCTGTGGGAAGTCGTTTCACAGTAATTTCACAGTAAGTGGATGAACTAACCAAGAAAATCCATATTTACCTCGATTTATCCCATAGTATAGTATGTAGCCTAACATCAGTCTGGCTATTTCGGACTGACTCGAAGACATTGAGTGAGCCAACAAATCTGTGTCTTACGTTAGAAAATAGAAAGTAGAGTAAATAGAAAGTAATCCACTGTGAAATGTAAATTTAGTAATTCTTTACTAAGTGGATGATGCCGTCTTTCCTGTAGAGTTTGTTGTATTTCTCATTTGAAAAAGTTATCTTCTGAAACATATTGCATGTTATGCTGACACCAATTTGATCCATTTTAGTGTATTTCTTAAGCCCAAAGTGTCAGGTTGGAATAGAGTTACTTTAATAAAAATCTGTCCAAAAGATACAAGCCATAAAATGCAACTTGTGACAACCGTCTGCATTGTGGGGACGGATCCAGCGGATATGTGTGTCCTGAGGAAAATTTATTTTTATGTTCTGTTCCTCCAATAAAAAGAAAAACCTGCTTATATTTATACGCCTTTAGAGACACTTGCATAACTTCCCTATTGTCTTTAAACACACACAAAAAATTTAATCCCTACGACCCCTGAGTCCTTTTCCTTATTTCGTTTTTTTTTTTTCTCTACCATTAGCTCGGGCGCCACAGTGAAGCAGGTTGTGGAGCTGTTGCCTTGAAGCAAGGAGCACAGGGATTGATTCATGGATAACATGAACATTAGGGATGAAATTATAAAAAAGGAACAACAGATGGATGGTTGGCAAAATGAAAGCAAAGATTGTTTTACAGATAAATGGATGTAAGGTTTAATGAATGGATGGAAGAATGGATAAAGACTGAAGGGATAATAAACTTTATTAGTCATTGAAATTATACATTACAGCAGGGTTTGTCCTCTACATCTGAACCCCTCCCGTAGAGAGCAGCATCCAGGGAGAAATCACTCCCCTTAGATAGATGAATTAATAAATGATGGATGAAAGGATTGGATGACGCATTTAGAAACAGACCAATCAGTGGATGGATATATATGGAAAGAGGATTTTAGTCCAAAGTTGTTGCAAAGTTTTGAATAAAAAAAAACAAACAAAAAATTTTAATAAAAATTTGGTGGCAGGGAGGTTGAGAGATAGATTTACAACATGTGTCCAAAAGAAGAACCAGTCTTTTCTAGATCTGTTAATATCCCAGATAAAACTTTTCAACTTTGGTCAGCTTTACTTTTTTTTTTTTTTTATAGCTCTGCTATCTGTGTACCAAAGCTGCAATTAACGCTAAAATTAAAATAAAACATGAAACGTGCTGACTGTGTACATTTAAAATGTAATAAAGGAGGAATGGATGGAGTCTTTGGATTAAAATCCGTCCATCATCTTCTACGGGTCCAACCTCCATGTCTTCATCCATGTCTTCATCAGTGATTTTCTATGAACTAACTAGACTCCATCTGGACTGATTCTCTTCTTTATTTTCCCATTTTGTTGCAGCTGTTAAATCAGCATCAATATGTAGAGAAGTGAAGAACAATTTTAGAAAAACTAGGAAATAAAAAGCACAGATATCTTTGTTTAAATGTAAGCGGTAAAAGTGAAAATTTCTCAGAAAAATAAAACCGTCCATTGAGTGAAGATACGAGCTACTTAACTGCAGAATTAAAGTATTTATGCTTTGTTATGTAGTTTTGGGGGAATCAGTTACATTATAAAGACGTCATTCACCCATAGAAAAAGAATCAAGCTTTGCTTTCATGGTTTACTAGGTCTTTTTTTTCTCCCTTCTTTTTTCAAACAGAAATACTGGAATTATTCAGTATTGCTGTTTTTTTCTGGAACAGTTTAAATCCTGTTTGAATTATTTTTTGTTTAAGTGCTTGAAAAGCAGTATCTTCAATTTAGTTCCTTTATATAGCACCAATTCACAACACGTGTCATCTCAAGGCAAAGTTTTCTATTTAAGGAAAACCAGTTGATTGCTTGATGCTTGCAGCGACAGTGGAGAGGAAAAACTCCTTTTTAACAGGAAGAAACCTCCAGCAGAACCAGGCTCAGAACCATGCTATCTAAGGAAAACCAGATAATTGCATCAACTTCAGCTTCCTTCCTGTTTTAAAACCAGTTAAATTTTGTCAATGTTCAAAAAAATAAAGTTGTGAAACATCTAATTGTTCTTTTATTACAAACAAAAAAATTTAATAATTATAATTAATTGATTATTTAATCAATTAAGTCATGAAAAGTTACTGCACAGTTAATTACTATAACTAGTTACTTTTTAATAGTAAGTTTCTTGTCCAGCATCAGTGTCTGACCTCTAAAATGCTGGAAACAGGCTTTTTTTTTTATTCCCAAAAATTCCCTCCAGCCCCAGTGACTTTGTCCCCTGCTGACCTGAAAAATCAAGCACCCTGATAACTTCGTACATCTTTGACATTAAATGTTGCTGTAAACAACGCCCTCATTGGAGAACATTGTTTTTTTTTTTAAATGCTTATAAAAGGTGAGACAGAGAAAAAGGCCAAAAATATGAAAACATTTCCATTTACCAGACATA